AATATAGACTAATAACATGCCAAAAAGTAGACAAATTCCCTTTCCTCTCAAAATTTGTTTGGCTTTCTAACTATGTGAAAAGAGATGTTACAAATTCATCCAAGCTAGTCGTTAACTTTTACACAGGAACAATGTTGACACTCTGAATGAAATTGACATTTAACTTTTCAGAACATAATGTTATACAATACGTCATTTGACAGATGAAAACCTTGAATTTCTATTGGTTATAGGTAATACATGATTAAATGTAAGAGAGAACTATTAACAAATTCAGAAAGAGAGGATGTGACAGATAGGCTTGGCAGGAGGGGTCTGATTTTCTATTTGATAACTCTGTAACCAAACAAAATTGAAGAGTATACAAATTATGGTTTATCTGAGCAATGATGATTTTATAGAGAGTAATTTACATTTAATTTCATACTTTATCGAGGGGTGGTGGATAAAATAGGGAAGATGACATGCTAAGAAAAAATGTATTACCTGGGTCACACTAGGGGAAATTCAGGATTTTTTAAATATTGCTTTGTATGATTAAGAAGTTAAAACTTATGTACTATTAAAATATGGATTATTAGCTAAGAGTTTATGCTATTCTAATTGGTATAATATAAACAAAAAGTAGTTTAATAAAATTTTGAATGTAAGACACGAAAACCTTGTGTCATGTGCAGTAAAGGATACCCGTGGCAATAGGGTTAAGTAAATAAAAGGGTAAGAAAGATGAAATAGTAAACAATAAACAAATATTATATTCTTCAAAAGATCAGAAAATGTTTCAACCCGAAGGAGAAAATACCTGAAATGTTAAGACATTTTCTGCTTTTTTAAGGATTTTTCTCTAAGGTTTGTTTATTTGTAATTAAGCACAAAGCTACACAATGGACTATCTGTGCTCTGCCCACCACGGGTATCGAAACCCAGATTATAGCATTGTAAGTCCACAGACATACCGCTGTGCCACTGGGGGGGCTTTTCTCTAAGGTAAATGGGAACTGTTAAAAATGATAGAGGTTGAGAAAGAAGAAAAAATGTGGCTAAAACAGAATGAGATCTTAAAAGTTTGCTTCATTATATAGGCTAAACATTCAACATTAAAGTTACTTGCAAATTGAGTGGGATCTGTTTAGCTTTATGTAAAGAAAGAACAGGAAAATCAGTACAATCTAAATTTCTGGAAATTTTAAAATAGTTTATATAATAAATCATGAAAAATAAATATGTGCTGAAAAGAAACATTAAACTAACATAACACAGTTCATTTGATGCTACAGAACGAAATGAGAAAATATGAAGATTCAAAAAAGTCAACTGAGACAGAATAAAATAGATATGTTGGTTAAAAATGAAAAAATGTGTATAAATAGTTTTGAAAAAATAAAGAGCGAAGTAGAAGTGAGAAGGAATTCTACATTGAATCACAGCTAGAGTGAGGGTTATAAACATAAGTACCGAGTAGATGTCTTCTGTTCATGTTTTGTGTGTATGCTCTGCCTACTGGTAAAAGGACAACTCGTGAATTTGAGGTTATTTTGAGGGTATTCAAGAGATTAAATTATCATATCACAGAAAGCAATAAAAATTTTATTACAACAATATGGTAAAGTTATAGTTTTTTTTCAATCCAGAGATGCTTTTCTATATGTATAAAACAATCATATGTGAAACCCTTCCTTGTATGTGCAAGAAAATGTCTACCTAAAGTTAGTAAAGAACCTGTACTTGTACTTGGTAGAGGTTCACTATCAGTGATGTCTTCTGAGATTTGAGTAATAGCATCTCCTAGTTGGGAAGATGAAGTTGACTGATGGGCAAGTAACCAATCCATCGCCTCCACAGGAGACATCCTTTTATTGAAAAATAATAAAAACTTAATCACGTTACCCTGAAAATTTATATTAATGTGTCTATTGAGCATCCTATAACTATAAAATTTCCTAAAATATACTAATCAAAGTTTAAAATATTTATGTACAACAACGCTCCACAGCTTTTACATTATTCTCATGTCCTATATGGTTAAAATATTCCCAAAAAAGTATTTATGTAAACATAACATCTTATAATCACCAATACAGTTGCCAAAATTGGATTTCATGTATAATAGTACTTTCATAAAAGTCATATGCTTAGTTAAAATAGATAATTATTAATTAATCTGAAAAATACTTGCAAAAGAAATTAACATACATACTGACATATTTGTTCTAAATAATTCATTTTGATTTTTTTCAGTACCCTGAATACCTTACATATTTGTACGGTATGTGAACTTGAAATAACACTACTCGGTTATAATGGTAGTATAGCCCTTTGATAATGGACAAAGATTCAACTTCTGTGCCCAATAAACGGTTGGGATTGGGACAGAGACATACCTATAAGTCAAGAGTTAAAGAAAGTGGTTTTGTTAAAGAATTATTGCATATCTGTTTAGCTTGGTTCTATCCATTTCACACAATCTTCTGATAACACTATGCAAGATTAAATATGGGTTGGAAACCTGTACTGTGGAGGGGGGAAGCTTGGCTAAACTTAATATTTTATTTACATGGAAATATATTTCCAATAGATATTCACTTTTGTACACAGATTAGCTACTGAAGTTGTGCTTTTCTGTCTGATAGATCTGCATGCCACCAGCCTTATGAAACACCTACCTAAAATTCATGTGAAAATGCATTAAACTGCACTATATATCCTGCAGCAAAACCCTCCACAAATAGGAGTGCAATGCACCTCCTTGTGTAAATCTTCCCTCTATATGTATGAGCAAAAATCCTAACATTTTTGACGAGGCAACCAATAAAAGTGCACTTGGAAAGTGGGGAGGAAGGGTGGGAATATGTATGGAGGTATCTATCAGAAATACATTGTCAGGTAAGGAAAATGTTAACTTCTGATACAATCACTTGCCTTCATACACAGATTAGCTAGAATCCCACCAAAATGAAATTACTTAGTTAAGCCTCCATTAGAGAGTGCCAAAAGGAATCCTATGGGGTGCAACACCCTATGGTAGTGGCTCCGTTGGAGACTGCATCTCATCTCATCCAGGGTCTACTCTTTGTCCGGCGTGAAAGATAAGGAGATGTGAGAAGCCTGAAAGGTGCTGTAAGGATGGGCAGAATAGGTCCATGACCATCCATGAGGTTGCACACAAGCCATTGGATGGCCAATATATGTAGTAATGCTGGGGCACGTTCAGACTGTACTATGTGTTCTCTGTGGGAGAAGGGCACATGTGAAAAGTATCCATGCACAACTTCTCGACCATCAGATATAAAGGGCTTACCCCAGTCACAGGAGAACGGCACCACAGTGGACACAACTAATAAGGATAACCACTCATCCATCAGATTCTATGGGCCATTTGCCAGCTGTGGGAGTAGAATTAGTGTGCAATACAGTTGGATATTAAGAAATAGCAATTACCCTACTAGTATATTTGGTAGGGTCATCTCTTTGCAGGAGTAGGTAAAGGAGAAACATAGAGCAAGTAAGCTGTGTGTCTGAAATCCACTAGGAGATTGTGATGTATCTAGGTAAGGTTGGGGTGGTCCACACTACACTCCAGAAACATCCCTGTCCCACTTCTTAGAAAAGAGAGGCCCCTTGTTTTAGCACTAGCTGTAAGGTCACAATTTGTAAGGATTCTCCATGGTCCATCAATCCAGTAGCTGGGAGCTGATAAGTGGAAAGATTCTTCCATACTGCACTGGAAAGGGGTAATTGACATAGAGGAGAACCGGAGAATGTGCCCAGATCCCTATTGGTCCTTCAGATAGGAAAGGTCTTTTAAATGCCAGCAATTACTTGCCAGGGAAGCAGACATATGCACAACTCTGGTGCTGGCTTTTTCCATGAATATCCTCACCTGTTACAAATGGCTGTTGGTGGAAGTCTGTGTGCTACTGGAGATGAGAAAGATGGAGCTAGTTTAATGTGAGACAAATAATTGTGGGGTTGTCCTATTGGTGGAGGCTTATCACATGCACTATGCATGCTATATGAGTAGCTTCAACTGAGAGGGGGTATATGGCCTAGCGAGTCAAGCAAGAATAAATTATTTTTAATGTGTTAGATCAGGAGGAAGGTAATAAATGACTCGTTTAACTCAAAGCCCCAAAAATCTACATAAAAAAAAAATTTGCCCTATTTCAGGGGCTTTTTTATCTATATTTTTGTCAAAAGTCCTAAAACAGGATAGCCTATGTACACCATTGGACAGTTTCCAGTTACCATACAAAAATTATGGTAATTGAGCCAGTCAACTATGGGTGATACATATCAAAAGTCTATAAAAAAAAAAGGCGGAAATGTGCCCTGTTTCAGAGTTTTTGCTATCCCTTTCTCAAGCAAAAAGCCTAAAACAAAATAGCCCACTTACATGTAGTTTCCAGTTATGATACTAAAAATTACAGTAATTGAGTCAGTCAACTCTAGGTGATGGATGTTAACACTCAAACACACACATAATGAATTAACCAAAATTTAGCTTTTAGCCTACCAATTGACATTTAAGTTTGGCCATGTTATTATTTTAAAATACAGACTGTGATCAAGTTGTTTAATGGTAAAGCTTAGCAATAAAACTTAGTGCAAAGATTTATGTAATCAAATACTTCTCTGGAAAGTTTTTATTTACTGAGTGAAAGCTGTAGAAACATTTGCAGAAACCAGTGTGGCACAATAGTGTATTAGTAAATAAGGATCTTGGCTAGGGTTAAATTAATTTGGTGATTTTGTTGATGAATTTATCATCTGTAGATAAATAAAAAAAAGGAGGAAAATTAATTTTGTTGTATACAGACCAGTTTTTTTTTTTTTTTTCTACAATACACCCAATATACATTTATTTACTCCCTTTTGTAATTTGTCATCTATTGGTCCTGGATCTGGTTGAATTGTAGAGGAAACATCCAAAAATTGCTGGATGAAGGATTTGATATACGTAAGTGTTAATAAGTTGCACCACAATAACATTTCAATTTATGGTTAAAAACAAGTTTTATGGATTCAAGGCAAAATATGTACAGGATCAGAGGTAATGTAAGCAAACACTGTATAACATTTTTAGAATTTAAAAAAATATTCAAGTGTTTTTCAAAACTTACAAAATTTTAATTAAGGATAATTAATTCAAATAAAAATGGTACATCTATCTTATCACAAACACATATGTATACTATACACACATTTCAGTTAAAACAGCTCATGAATGTAAAGTAAAATCTACAGTTATTTTTATATCTTCAAGTATTCAAAGGTTCTGTACAAAGAAATTTTGCTTATGTATCAGGGTGACAACTAGAACGAGACTCTACTTATAATTTAAAGTTTACATTAGAGTCATGAAAAAAAGACATCTCTTGAGATGAGGAGTTAATATGATTTTTGGGGGGCATTTTTTCACTGCTAAGTTCGAACTATAAAACCATAGTTCCAAAAACTATTTGAATCAGGCCCTATAATGTATGTACTTACTTGTTAATTCTAAGAGCAAAAGCATTTTTAAATTTTAGATGATTTAATAAGACATTTTACCATTGCAACATCTAGATTTTATTTTCCTTCCCATTTAGTTACTAGTGTATGCAACTGTCTAAGGATTTGACCTATTGTAGCTTTCTGCTAATGTACAGTAGGAGTATTTGGACCGTACGTGAACTATTTTGTTGCTTTCTTTTGAAACTATAGAACCAATTCCACAGACAGTTCGTGCACCAGTTGATCCTGTGGCTTTGAGACAACTAACAGATATGGGATTTCCTGAAGACAAAGTTGCTAAAATTCTAACATACAAGTCAACTTTATGTGTTACACATTTAAACCATGCCCCAAATGCCAATGTTAGAAATTTTGGATATTTACCATTTCAAATTTATGATAGTAATAAGAATAATATTCAAAAAACAGATAGTGAACCACTAAATTAAGAAAACTGAGTAAAATAAGCATCAGTATTAATCACAACACTTGATGAGAAGAACATCTAGATACTCTGTCAAACATAATTTTTTCATTTGTTGTGTGAAAGTTCAGAACTGACGATAAATGTCACCATTATGTAATACTAAAACAGTAAGGTAGCTTACAGGCCATTTCTCATACATTAGTACTTATTGTTATGGTCTACAATTTAGAACTAAAAATAAACAAACATAAATTACCAGCATCAGTTAAACATTTTGAGGTGCAAATTTTGCTATATACTGTAAATTGCACTTCATTATAAAAAATAAAAGAATATTCTTAGTCATTAGGTTATGATTACTGTTTCAGTTATTTAATCCAATTGTATGATTTGTACACATATGAAAGAAATTGCTATTGTAGACATTTGTATCAAGGACCACTACTTAAGAAACAATCAGTTCTTTGTCATGTAATGAAAATAAGAACTAATATATTTCATCTGATATATAACAACACATAATACTGATTGTGACTCTAATACGATATAAAGGAAAAATAATGTGTTAAATAATTTGTTACATCACTCTGTCATGGGTACAATAAGTACCACAAATACCAAAGTGGACATTTTCAATACAGTGATATACTTATAAGTTCTGTGATCTCACAACAAAAGTAATGGTCTACAGGAAAATATATATCTATCCTTTTATGTGAAATCAGTGATCTGGTATTCCGTACAAGTTACAAGAAAAGGTTTTAAATATTATGAAGCAATACCTGGAATAGCTTGTAGTATATCCTGAACATGAGGGTGATATCGCAGAATCTTCTCTGATATATCCACCATTGTAACAAGAATTTTCTTGAGTTCTGCATGAAACTACACCGTATGTATGTAAATATAATATTAAACTGGATGATTTTATTTACAAGTGAACAATATACATAATTCTATGATTCTTTTTTATGCATGCAGTTAATGCTTCTTTAGATGTTTCACTGATCTCTATACAATTTCAAACCCTAAATTCTAGAAATAAAGATTTCAATATATATCAGAAATATCTAAGAAACACAAAGAAGTTAATTACTATTTGATGACTTAGAATGAAATTCTTTCCATTTTAATTCATTGTCAAATCTTATTTTAATTCACATTTTGTGTTTGTGAATTTATTTGTTTGCTTGCAAACTGCAAACTCCTCTCACAGTTTTGGACATAACAGGACCACACTTTGCAGGCAGACATGCAGTAGCATTGAGGTGTCCTTATCTGTATAGTGTAGCCTCCACTACCAAAGGGGTCTAATATACACTTGGAAGGTCAGATAGGCATGATGATTTTCAGGGTCATTGAAACAGAATCTGGCATTGGACTTGTGTTCCTGACCCCACCTCTAGATCCTGGGGGCACCATGTTTGAAGCAGAATCAAACATGGGTATTTTAACACATGTAATAAACACAATGGCATGTGACAAAGTGCAGTAAGTAATGAAGTTTGGACACATATCAGATGTGCAATATTTAACATCCTCAATGCCTACTATTGACTTGAAATTAAACAAAGAAGAATTTTTAAGAGTTATGAATCTCCATCTATACAAATGATCTTAATTTGACAACTGTGACTACCAAAAAGTATCTATGCAAAGATGGATACAGGATTTTGGAAAGTGGGTGGGTCCAACTCTTGGAGAAGAATGTAATCTCAATGATCTACAAAAATAATTATACCTTATTTTAGGGCTTCACAAACTTATCATAAAAGTATTCATCCTAAGGACTTTTCTTGTTTGTACCCTTGCTATGTGCACAGATGGCTTTAATTTGGCTGGTGATTTACACAAAGAAAGTCATTTTTAGCAATGAGAAACATTCCATACAATAGTCGGTCATTCTGGTAGCATTCAGCATTATCACTTTGAATGATTACTTTCTATATTTATGTCAAATGTTTCTTTAGATGCATTATCAAGGTTTTGACAATCAGTAAAATAGCAGTACAATCTTGTTTGGAGTCACCAGCAGAAATTCAATCATAGTAGCATATGCCGAAAACATTCAGATCCTTCGATAAACACTCTGTGGGTCTTGACGATTATAAGCTATTAATTTGTGCCAATTCATGACTCTTTTATCATAATGCTCAAGGGTTTTTTTCCCAGACGTACATTTTTTCCAATTTCATTTGTAATCCATCACAATTTAAGGTGTCATACATAATAAATTTTGCAATAAGTTATTGTTTCAAATTTGCTGGTTCTGAACAGATAACCGATGTTCCATAAACACTTTGAATTTGTCTTTACAATCAGAAAAAATGTTGTGGTGGTCTTCATGAGTGTATTCTCAGATGTATTCCATATCTTGAAATAGTTATGAAGTCATTAAGTCATTATCTTTACTCCGATTCGCTATTTTCTCAGATGTAGCTAAAGCAATGGCATCACTATCCTTGGGGAAAATGCTCTTACACAGTGCATGATCATCAAAATCACACCAGTTCTTTTATTTATGTTCCAATAACCAAGGTATGTTATATCCACTACTCGATGGTAATTGCTATGCCTGTCAAATTTGAGCTACACTTGATAAATATTGCTTCTTGACTAATACGAGTCATTTTTCAGTGATGGTTTCCTCCTCGTCATCATCATCTCCATAAAGATTGGGAATATTGTTCCTTTATCTACCCATTACACATGACGCTGTGGGTTTAACCTTTGAAACTGCACAAGGTTGGCTGCCACACTTAAAGGACATCTTCACTGATGGATCAAGACCATCACAAGCACATCCACAATGGATACATGCATAACATTTACCATAATGAGGCCTTTTACACTTGCATGTTATCTTTAGCATTTCCATGATTAAAAATACTTTCGATTTTCTCCTACCATATTCACCCACTACAAACTGAATGCAGTTTTGAGCATTTCAGACTACAGGGAAGATGTGGGAAAATCTTAGCCAAAAAAAATTTTTTTAAAAAGCCACATTCACAGCCCATTAAAAAACTAACAAAAACTTCCCGGCTTGACTAGTGAACTCAGTGTTAAAGATCTTATTTAGTAAACATGCTCCAATTCTACACTGATCTTTCTATGCAATGTGCAAAGTACCTTATTATAGAGAGAAGTATCTTAAAAAAAATAACATTTAGGAATATTTGTATTTAATAAAGCCAATGTAGAGTTGGGTCAAACAATATTTTAAAATTACTCAGAGATAAATCAAACCAGATTCAATGGGAACTTGAGAAGCATTAGCGTGCAGGGGGGGGGGGGAGGTGCCGATTCGAATAGTAGAACCCTTTCCGCCCTTCCCCAAGGTCTTAGGTACAAGGCCCCAGGCATCATAGAAACCCTGCATGCCACTGTTGAGAGGTATGAAGCCTTATGTTATTTGAAACTTATCATTCCAATTAGTCTATCCAAGACACGATATTTATTCATGATAGAACCTTAGTTTTGCACTATAATAATTTTATCATTAACAGTACAAGAAACAACAGCTGCTGACATAAAAAGAAACAGGCCCTTCGCCACCATTTACCTTCCCTATATTCCAAACCTACGATTGAGAAGGTAGTTAAAATTTACAGATAATGTTCAAGATACAAATTAGTTGGAAATCTCCTAGAACTCTGATAGTCATCCATATATTAATCAAACAAAAACAGTTGCTGAAAAGTAAAAAAAACAAAACAACAACAATAAACAATACTCAGTGTTTACATACAAACTGATGAATATTTTTGGACCAAAAACACAAACAAGATAAAGACATTATCATCTCCTGAAGGTATAGAACTCCATCTTTGCTAAATATTCTTCTAAAATTAGGCTCACTATTAACTGAGAAGAATGTAAATTTGCATACCAAGACAAATTCTGAAAGACCCAAAAAAAATCAAAGAAGCCTCTTACATCAACATTAAGAAGCTAAGCATCAACGTTAATACAGTCTTTAATATCCTATCTCAGATCAAATCATTAGCCTACAAGAGTTACTGCCAACAAATATGTTATTTTGATACCACAACAGTTTTACACCAACTCTGTGCCTAGTTCCTAAAGCCAGTTGTCAATTACCTCCCCCATCACATGAAGTTCTTTCTCTTCACTGCATTACACAGAGCTCTCAAACATGCTTCACGCTAAGATCTGCATCTACACTTTATTAACAAAACTTTTAACAAACAGACCTAGAATATAGATAATGAGTCATCCAAAAATTTGTCTCTTACTGCTTCTATTAATGAATCCTGTGAAAGAAATTGAAAGTTTTAAATGGGCTGTTGCAGTCTGTATGTGTTGTCTCCTCACCAAAAGCTCTTGATTAAGAAACATGAAATTACCTCACAAATGGCCTAGCTAACAGAAAATGTAACAAAATTTCATAACATCTCTAAGTAAGACAGGATTCTAATTAATAACTTGTTTAGTATTTAATTTTTAAAAAAATCATCATATATGGAATTATATCAAATTCAAGCACAAGATTTCCTTGTCTAGTAATGAATACAAACTCTCTTTTCTAATAACAATGAAATAAAAAATTGATGTTAACCTCTTAACAAAAATGCTGTGACCAAAAAGTGAACCCAGAAGTACAGAGTATGTAATCAGTTAACAAAAGGTTGTTTTAATCACGTGACACAATAACATGGTTTTTAGCCCACCTTATACAATTCATAAAAAAGAAGCCTATATGGAAAGATAAACATAATGAATAGAGGGAGTACAGAAATGTTAGCCAACAACATGGTGCAGTTGGTGTTTTTATTGACAAAACTTCCAAGCAAAAAATTATTTTCACCAGCAATACATATTGTGTTTTAGCGGATGATCAGAAAATTGTCATGGCAACAGAATCGGAGTGGGTATACCATTTCTAAACCTTTAAATAATTTAATTCTAATATCATATGAAGCAAAAAATGCCACAGGAGACAGTATCTTTACTAAAAATGTAAAGGATAAAATGTCAAAAATTTATTGGGAAAAGGCTGAAAAAAAAAGATAAGTATGATCTGAAAAGAAGGGCTAGCTATATGACAAGTTTCTAAGACAAAAATGTTCATACAGTGATATAATACCCAATAAATATGACAACTGTACACAGACTATTTAATATTATGTAAGATCAAACACTATACTACACACAATCCAAAAATTAAAACTTGATAAAAAAATACTAAGATGAAGGAAATACAGATACATAATAGGCTCATAATTTGTGACAGAAATTACAAACTGGAGATTTTGTTATACAAACTAACTAATGCCAGAAATAGCAAAAGTATATAGTCAGGGAGTGTATAAAATATGACAAACTCGGTGGATGACTGTGACCCCTGGTTTATAAAATTAGTACTTACACACATAAATGTTCTGAATTTGTATCTTTTAATACTAAAAAAAAATTGAAATGTACATGTAAATGTATCTTTTGAAATGGCACCTGTGAAAAAAAAAATCAGAATAGTAAAATAATGGAAATTTAACTTCAACTCAGCCATTAAACATTCATTAACTCTGCTGTCGAGTTTTTTCAATAAAGGTTTTAAAAATTCAAAATGATTCACTGTTTTAATGATATGTAAAGCAATCTTACCCCATACTAAGTTGGTAATTACTAATATGGTTTCCTAACCTTATGGAACATTTTTAAATATAAAAAAAACTATATATATTTAGACTGACTTGCATCTTAAATAGGAAAGTCTTGATATTTGGATAATAGCTTTTTTTGATAAGCTACATTGCATGCACAATATTTACAATTAAAACAATGAAGTAAAGAATCTATTATTTAAGTACCACAATTAAATAAATAAAACAAACAAATGCTCTTACATCAAGAATGACTGGCTTCTCTACATCACGATCAAAGTTTCTTGATGGTAAATCTTCTGTAGCTTGTTGTATTTCTAAAAGTGTTGGTGCTCGAAGCTCTTGCTACAACAAAACATAACATACTCTTAAAAACACCATTTATAGTATCTTAACATTTTGAAAATATCAAACTAAAGACAAACAAACCAAAAAAAGAAAAAACAACATGATGACAGACAGCAAACCAATCATCCCAGATCCCCAAACTAGCCATAACACCTTGAAAAATACCTATAAGCAGGAGTTTTTTTAACTCATCCTTCATGAACTTGAAAATATTCACTGTCTGATCATGTCCTTAGCTTTGTTAGCTGGGCAAAAGCTTGGGATATTCTTGACACAAACCAACTAAACTGGTATGAACCAAAACTCTGGACAATTGGATAAAATTTTAACTTACAACTTTAAACTTAAATATATAAAAGCTAATGAGTTGAGAAAAGTTCTTAAAAAATAAAGCATACTAATCTTGTGAATCTTTATATTGTCACAACCTTTTAAAGGTTGCAAGAACAAAAATAAAATTAAAGTGGGAGAAAAAAGGGAACATTTACAACAGGTTGGAATATTCTTGCAAGTAGAAAATTCAAACACACACTAGAAGAATTGTTTTATGTTAAAGTAAATGAAACACTTTTCAGGATCCTATGAGAGTTGGGTCTGATGATTTACATAGTAGTGCCTGTATAAATGAATTGCAGGATTAGAACATTCTGGATGTTTTTTATAGAGTACAAAATTGAAGGCCATCAAATTCTCAGTTTGCAAGATTGCTTTACTTACCACGAGTATTATAATTTTCCCTTCAAAACATGTTTTAGTAGATAAAGTTTTTTGATTTTCCAAGACATTTTACATTTTATCACATTTGATGAAAGAATTTTTAATCCCTCCATAGGAAAGTTATAATTTTCCTATACTGAAAAAGTATTTCCAATAGGTACTGACTTCCTTTCACAGATATAGCTATTCTCATTCAGTGCTGGCATATATATATCAAAATATTTTCACATTCCACAAGCCTTGAGCTCTCACGTATTCCACAATCAATGTGGTTCAACTGTGTTTCATATGTAAATCATCATGCAACAATCCTCCACCAATAAGTGTATAACACACCCTCCTGACCCATGTGACTCTCTTTATTCGATTCTATTGAACTATTACTTCTTGTTTGGCAGTGCTATCATCATGGCGTTTTTTTGTTTGTGTAGTATTGTGTTAGATGGAAGAAGTACTTCCAACATAAGACAGGGGTGAGAAACAGGTAAAAGGTAAGGTGCCTGATCAGAGTGAAGACACCAGGAATTAAGGAAAGAAGGATACAAGGAAGAAAAATCCCAATCGAATGAAAAGCCAAATCCAATTGGTAAGGGAGGAAGGAAAAAGTCACGAACAGAGAAGTGATGCCAGGAAACAAAACTATGGAAAAGGTGACAAACAGAAAGAAGCCTTGAAGGCAATTAAGCAACCAAGATCACATACAGGACATAGAAGGCCATATGAACCTGACCTGCAATAAAGGTGGAAGATGGAAGAAAAACGAGAACGACAAAAAGGAAGATCATGTCACATGAGTTGCCAAAGTGTAGGTTAGGAAAAATTGATCCAAAACATAAAGAATGGATCAAGCTAAAGCAGCCAAGAAAACCAGATCTGTGCCAGCCAGAAAGGAGCAATCAGAAAGACCTGACATGGAGTTGCATGGATGAACAAAATCATCTGGAGAAGATGATGGACAGGATGATAGAATAAAGGTATAAACCTGTCCCAATTCTCTCTAAACACATAAACAGCCAGGGTGAGTGGATGAGGAACCAGAGACAAAAAAAAGAGAGGTAACTTGGAATCGAGGAAAGGGACAATTGCATCCTGCTGACGAGTACCCCACTGGAGTAAGAACCACCAGAAATTTTTTAAGACCAAGAGACCACTCTGTGGGATAAAGTGTCTTGGAACTGGAAAGGAGATCCACAATGAGGTTGAAAGCACCCAGAACATGACATGCTAGGAAACATACATTAAGTGTGTGGGCCCAAGATGGAGATCCAAGGAAAACCACAAAGGGAATTAGAACACGTGCCCTCTTGGTGAGGGATATAAGCCACCACCATCAAATTGTCAGAATCATGATTAGTTGAATCCTGATAAGAGGAAGAAAGTGAACCAAAGCACACTGGACTGCCAGAAGTTCCAGAGCATGAACATGGTAAGACCTGTCAGTCGTATACCATTTTTTTGAAGCATCATGCTGACTGACCTATGCCCCCTAACCTTGGAGGTAAGCATCAGGGAAGAGAAACAAATCTAGCTGAGTGGGATGAAGTTATCTTAATGACGTGGGGGCTTTGTTCAACCACCAACACATATCGTTGAAGAGGGAAGGATGAAAGTTACAAAGGCATTCTAAATGAACCCTATCAAGATTCCATGGTTCATGCAGCATCCCATGAAGAGATCATATATGTGTCAGACCCAAGGGGATAAATGCTTCCATAGAAGCCACATCCCCTAACGTGACAGAACTTCACTAGCAGTAAGACAGTTAAGAGTAATGGCGTAGATAACTGAAAGTTCTGTCAAAAGCAATCAAAGAGGAGAAGCATGGGCCTGTTGAAAATGACACCCCAAAAGACAAGGATGTTAGGTAGGTAATAGTAAAGACTTCTCCAGCTAGAAAATCCAACTATCCAAGCTGCATGGGTAAGAAGCAGATGAATATGTTGTGACAACTCCAGTACAGAATAAGCTCACAGAAGCCAGGTGAGCAAGTTGTGGTATAAGTACAATACCCCATCATGCTGAAGTTGGGTAAAACTGACCACTGAACAAAAAACTGATGGATCCGAAATAAAGTTGAAGGGTAAGGCCCAACACTGGTACTCAACCCTGTGGTGAAAAAAACTACAATAGCATCATGAGGGATGAAAAAATAGTAATGTGAGTATAAGAATAAGAAATAGCTACTTTGGCATCCTCAGTCCTGGAGACATGGTCCACCAGAGTGTGAAAAACGACAACATAGTATTATGGGATAGAACCAAGAAGTGATTGAGGCAGAACAGATCGATCACAGAACTCCAATCAGCACCAAGAATACATGGCTAATGGAGGAACCCTTAGAGGTAGGACAGGTAAATGATGAGAAGTTGCCAGACATGGAACATGAATAAAGAATGCAATGGCTCAGAATGAGACAAACGAGCAACCAAAAAAAAAATCAAATGAAGTAACACAGATAACCCACATGATGCTAAAGTCACAGGAGTAACCCCCCCCCCCAAAAAAAAAACAACAAAAAACAAATTGGTGGAGAAAGAGTGCTGGCCATAAGTCCTGAGTAGTGGACAGTAAAGGAACTTAGTACAAGACAGCATTCCATTCCAGAAAATCCAAAAGGCAAAGAAGCCATGTGTGTAGGAAAAAAGCCAAAGATGGCAATTGTCCCAATGTGGAGGTAAAGAGGTATACCATGAAAATCTCCAAGAATTAGGTGGAACACCTTAGAAAGGAGATGTTTGGTGAAAATTTCCTGTAGAAGAATCAATAGAGAAAAACAAAGACTGGAAAAACTTGGTGAGGGATAAAAAGACAGACAAAAGGGCCCAGCATGAACCATAATGTCTGGAGAAGGAGTGGAAAAAAAATTTACTGTGAAAAGTGTCAAAAAAAAAAGGCTGAGGTAGGCATAGCAGAATCTGAAGGAGAGGTCTGGGAAGCAAGGAATAATCAGGTTTAAGAAAAATGTCAAAATCTACATCATCCCAAACAGATTTGGCAGTTTATGGAGGAAGGCGAGCAATATTGGGAGAAGGTTGGGCAGAACTTGGTCCTAGGGGTTCTCACAAACCAAATTAATTGTAAAAAGTATAAACGATAAATAATTATGAAAGAGAAATAGTATTTAAATTGTAAAATTAAGTACATGTGTATTGAGAATAAAAAATTTATTAGAATATATCTGTTGAAAAAAATAATATAATTAACCTAATTTACAATTTACCAGTCAAATGAATGACAGGTAAGCCTAAAATAACAATGACACTTGTTAAGCCTAATCTAATGTTGTAGTACAAAGGATATCACTACGCTCTAATTGAAAACCATAACCTTGCAATAAGTATTTTATAAGTCTAAATAAGCTTAAGTTATTGAACCTATATAACAACAAACAAAAATATTGAGATAAAAAAATACTCAAAATCTATAACAGTATAACAGCTTATCTGTCCAAAGTCCGTAGACCACAGTCAAGATGTGTGGGCCCTGTCAGATATAAAAAACTGTTCAGTGTAAGTAGTATCATTAATTAATATAATTTGTGTTTGTAATTCACTGATATCAAGACTTTTGAACGTTGTGTGGAATCTATTGATGTCGAGGTTATAGAAATTTCAAGAAGGCCTAAGTGATAGACGTATAAATAGCTGCAACCACACAGCAGAAAGAAAGAGAGAGTAAAAAAGTAAAGTCACGGGAAAGAGAAGTTCAGTGAGAGACTTCACTGGTGTGATTTTGTGTGGAATAGCATTTTCCAATTGACTTGAGTATGCAGCGATTAAGATGGAGGTATGTCTGGAAGTCTTATCTTGATGATCCCATGCCCTTAGCCTCAAGTCCAGATGAAGTTCTTTTTTGATTATGTCATGTACTGTTGTCTGGAACATGTGGATAGCTTTTGCCACTCAACTTTGAGTTTGCTGTATCTCACCTGTTACAAGATGGCACACTTTGCTTACTATGACTAGAGTGGTATGACCTGTTGCAGGTCTCTTTCTAAATGATCCTGGTGTACCAAGTTGATCCCTATTCCTTTGTTTTCCAGTACCATTAAGTACAATGGACATCTTCATCTTGGAAATTCAAAATCAACAATCTCAACACATCTTTATGAGTGTGTGTGAATACAGAAAAAGTCATTATGTCTTTCTTAAAATCAATCAATTTTCCATGGCATCACAATACCTACAAATGTGTCTACTACATACACTAAATTCCACCACAGCTTTATATTATCTGTGGTGTTTATGTAACTAGCTTGTCTGCATATTCAAAATTATTTTAATATAACATACCCAACCGCTCCATAGAATATAGCTTTAATAAAAAAAAAATCACTTTAAACTTCTGATCAAATGTTATCCCTATTATATTTTACATGTCCTTTTCTATTTTTAATAAAATTCATACAATTTCATTTTTCAAATTTATCCAATACTATAATAAGTCAATACCTTCAAAAATTAAAAACAGCTAAAATGGAATAGAAAAAGTATATGAAGTTTGTGTTTCAACACCGTTAACATGGCACCAGCAGATGATTTCACATTAATGATGGTGAAACATAGTTTTACTGTATTTATTATTTCATTTTAGCTGGGTTTTTTTATTTTTAAAGTATGCGAGATACCTCCAGTACTTACAACTTCATATGTGTTTGTTTTTTGCCTTTTTTTTTACATCAGGCTCTGCCAAAGTATTTATACATTTAGTATTGCTTTGTTTCTAGTCTATCAGAAAGAATTCAATAAAAAAAGTATGCTCTATAACTTTCTAACCATAATTTGGGAAATTAAACCATGATTACTTTTGTCAAACATATATCTCTCAAACATTGGCCACTATAATAGAAGGTGTATGAACATATACGAGTAATAACTACAAATGAAAATATTAAAATCAGGTTATTACTATGTATAGTGACAATTTATTTTTAGCTCAAATCATAAACAGTGTAAAAATAGTTGTTTTTTAAGTGCATGATAATGTATTCACATTTACATTACAAACTGATAAATTTGATACTACGTACAAGTTACAGTGTACGTATGTTACACGTCAATTGTTTGGACAATTAAAAAATAATCATTACAGACAAGAAAAGTTATAACACTACCTCATCAACTTGTTTTCTTGTATGCTGAGATGTTACCCTCCTTTTTAATAGAAGTAGCTCATCTAGAAGGTATAAAAGCAACCACAGAATTTGGGCATGTAATTTCTTGAATTTGACTTTTAGAGAAACATTTTACTGCTAAATAAGTTCTTAACTCTACCTTGTATATTAGAAATTAATTCAAGAGATGATTTAATATTTAACAGATGAGAAATTTACATATAATACTGAGTATATGTTATTGCATTATTTATAGATACAAAATATTTTTAAACAATTTCCACAATACATTGAACTAAATTTTGATAGGAAAAAATGTCACAAACTTATCAAACAAAACATACAACTAGTTATTTAGAAATTCTCACCTTCTGATTATAAAAAAGGGATGTTGGAATTAACAGTTAATTATAATTTAGTCTTAAAATCTACAATGTAAAATCTATTTTGAATGACCTGTCTATACATTCTATTTCTATTTTCGTAAGGTATTATAATACAAATTACCAAAATAACACAAAGCAACTTCAGTCTTTACCATTCTCTTGGATTTGCTCATTAAACACAGTGCTTTCATCAGGTAAAGGTTGATGTCTTGATATTAAAACCAGTTTGTATTGTTCCACAGATTTCACAGAATCAACTGGGTGATAAAAATGGCTCAAAGCCATCATTTTAAGTTTTTCGATTGTAAATTCTGTGAGAATATCGACAACCCAATCATTTCCTGAAGAATCAATAATACTGACTTTCATTACACACAGATTGTTGTGAACTCTAAATACAATCTAAATAATTGTTAATTTATATTTCTATGATATTGGTACTGGTAGTAATATTATTACTATTAGTAAACCTTCACCAAAACTGTTACATAAAACAAGTCCAACTCGATTTTCGATGTTGTTATCGTACGAAGTGCCTGAAGCCTAATATGTCTCGGGCAAACTGACTCTCCACTGAGTAATTCTGACACTGAACCATCAAATTTAGTACTACACGTAAACTATAAAATACTTCCTAATATATTTACTTGATAAGTAAACACATAATTAGCAATAACATTCGGTATGACAACTACCACTTCTCGAAAGTAGAAATTTTTCTTATCGATTACTCGTCAGGTACAACTAACTACAATGCCACTTATTATATATTAATTTACTATTAACATTTTTAAGAGCTTCAGATATATAATAATTATTATAATTTATAGATGATATATCATGCATTATTAAACATGCTATTTAACGCAATTAAATAATAGTTTTGAAAGCAGTTTGGATATTTACTATCAATCATACGACTTTAAGAAATACATGGCAACAAAATAAATTATTAATTTACTGTCCTCTGGTGGGTTAGCGGTAAGTTTACGAGTTCACAACTCTAAATTGCGAGGTTTAATTCCCCGCGGTGAACAGATCTAAAGCGTTGATATGATCATTATGTAACTTTGAGCTAAAACAAACAAATAAACAATTAGTATATTTTGCATAGCAGTCTTATCTTAGTATATACTAAAATTGATCCAAGGGATGCGTCACGAAAAGTTATCGATGTCCTGGCCAATTAATAGATTAGTAAATATATTGTGTTTTAGTATTAACTTTCTGTCACTCTCGTATGTTTTTTTTTTTTTTTTTTTTTTTAGTTTCTTGAATATAAGTTTAACATAACAGCAAACGTACAACATTTCGACAATGATTCAGCTACTGATAAATTACTAAAACATTTCATCAGTACTTCTACTTGTTTCTGTTTATTGAATGTTGTTTTATACCCATCAATTGCTACTTTTTCAAGTAGTGCTCTAATTCTGTGTAGTAACAGCTATACACATTATTTTATTCTGGATTTTCTTTCTTTTACAACAAGAGTTGCAGATTTTGGAAACACTCCTTTACAGATCAGTGATATGAAGCCCATAAAAATCTTTTAAGCACTTTCTCCAAAGTCTTCATAATACCAATACGTCTAAATGTCAGAAGATTACGGGTTTAACAAAGTCTGTCAAGTTGTAGAAATTTCTATATTAGTAAGCGAATCTGCAATATGTATAGATCCATGAATCTTCAGTCTTTTCGGTTTATGCTGTTATTAAGTTAAAACTAATTTCACTGAAATCATCCAATATCTCTTAGTGTAAGGACTAAAGGTAGCAAGTTACGCACAAGAAGATCCAGTAACTAGTAAAAAAAAAATTTTATAAATAAAATGTTTATCGTTATTTGCGTATTACTGTTGTTGATCGCATAGTGGATATTCACAAAGAATATTTTTTCTATATTTTTCTTTGCATTATTATTTTAGATAAAAGAGTGTTTCAAAAAGGTCTGCAAATTACGTAACAGTGAGGATGAAATTAATCAGTGCTTATCTCTCTAGTTACACATACTCTTTTTACAGAACAAAGGATATAAAATATCAGTCTTTGACTAGATGAAGCCCAAGATATAGAAATCGAAATGTTGTTTCACTCTTCAAACAAGCAAGAGCAGTCCATTAAAGCCAAAGTCCTAAGATTTGGTCAATATGCTTAAAAAAGATATCTAACTTAGCGTGTTGGAAAGTTAACCCTGTCTGCTTTCTTGGCTAAAGAGAAAGCAAGCTAACCAATCCCATAGAAAAAAATACGAAAACAAACTTGATCATAAACCTTGAAGGGGGGGGGGAGACAATCTTCATCTCAGGGAATGTTCTGGCTTTTCAGCCCATAAATATACACGCCCTAGAAATCATTCTCGGACTGCGAACTCGAGGACTTGAGTTTCACGTCAGGTAATCACAAAAATTCGCTGAGGGACTGTGGATGCGCCATAATAATGACAGTGGAATCTCAATATTAGTTCGGATGAGAATAGCCTAAGAGTTGGGGATGGGCGTTGTTGATTATTTTTCTTTCCTCTAATCATAAATTCAAAATTAGAGACGGCTATGCACAGATAGCCCTTGTGTAGATTTTCTCAAAATTCTAAACTAATAAAACAAGCAGGAAAGATCTTAAAAAGATAATTTCATCCGCTTATTGGAATCTTCTTGTTAGTGTTTTAATTCAAGGATATATCAAGCACACAGTTACCTATCTCTGCAACAACTAGAGATTATAGAACCATGGAAGGATAAGTGTAATGATTTATATTGACAGAATGAAAGAGACAAGTCTCGTTGCAAAGTTGAAGCAAAAATATGGATAAATGATAATAAAGAATAAATTGACACGTCTAAATGAAAACTTTTTCCAGTTTATTATGTGACGTCATTTTAGTGTCTACTGATTGACTGACAGACAACATACTACTGTATAATGGTACAACTGGTTAAAATAGGTGACCCTTCCAGGAAGTTTTCGGCCCTCTTTCGGGGAAATGAAATATAATGGTGAAATGAAACATGAATCAGAGTAAACTTGTATGTCCTTAAGAATATATACAAAAGATGTGTACATGTGCTTGGATTATTATCTTACAATCCAAAGGACCTTCGGTTATGTAAAGCATGTATACTAATTAGTGTTGATATATTTCTTTAAATCCAATAGACTATATTAAATATACTCTTTAGTATTGTTGCGTCATCGAGATCACGTGACAAGTCTCACGCCCTCTTGTTTCTAGAACTATCCCGTATCTTGGCGAATGCTCTAGTATTTTGCTAGATAGGGTAGGCTGGTATATAAAAAAGGTAATGTAATGTGTGTGTAGACAGTGAGTAATTGAACTGCAGTCAGAAATATTGTTGACGTTCGTTGATTAGCGTTTGTTTTAGCGCGATTGTTGAAGTTAAGTGTATCGGTAAAGTTATATTCGGAAAGAATAAACCAGTTTTATTAAGAAAGGACTTGTGTCGCTTAAGTTTCGTAGGAACGAAGTTACTGAAAATCAATTAACAAACGGAGACATAACAGTATGATAATACTTACACATTAACAGGCGTTTCGAGATTAATATTTAATGACACAGAGCAAATTAAGATGAACTCTCCTCAAAGGGCGTCGTTGTATAAAAAATATTTGAATAAAATGTCATATATTTGTTGATATTATTTAACCTTAATATTGTGTGTATATGTATATCAATAACAGTAAGTTCTAATGTTATGAAAAACTGATAATTTAACAACAAACTATAGTGTTTTTATACTATAAAAGATGTTTGTGACTCTAGTAATAAACTCGTTAAATGAAGGCTCTACAGTTGTATTTTAATAGGAGGCAAACAACGAGTATCCGATCTACCATTCCACTTTCTTCAAGGTCAAGAGCCGCTTAGCAGTGCGTGTAGTTGCTTTACTCTCGCTGTTATGACCTATGAGATTACAGTTCCTTGGAGTATGTTTTGTCTAAAAGAGTCAATGTCCGTAAATCAGTGGAAGATAGTGTAACTTATGCAAGTTTGTTAGTCTGTGAAAGGATTTTAAAGAACTTCCCGACCCCACATGTATTTTTAACTACCCGTGTATCCTTTACGTTTTATTTTCATAAGAAATAGAGTTAAATAGCTAGGCCCTCTCTAAATATATATATAAAAAGGAAGTGTCTTGTTAGTTCGTTTTGTAAAATAAAGTGTAATGGAAACAAAAACAATAATCGATAACAATATATGTTAGAAATTTTTGCTGGTTTTTTAAAGGAGTAGTCCCTAATGCTGTTATAGCTGAGGCAATATCCTTGATCACAGCGATACGAATGTTTTGGTAAACTATACACGCTTGAGCAAGCATGGGAATTTTGTCTTAGAGGTACTGAGAAATAACAACGTTTATCATTTACAAAAGAAAGTCGTTCTTCAGCCAACAACTGCTTCATTTTTTAAGATTAACATAAAAGTATTTAATATTTTATAAGCTCCACGAATTAGAATGCAAATGATATTATTTCAAAAATCGTCCAAATTAAAATTTCATAATGATTTTATCGTAGCCAGTTTTTTGAATGGTTACAAATCGTATTATTAGAAGTTGTTGATGAGATAACTCTTTAGTTTTGGCGTTTGGATTACATGCGATGGGTCCAGTTGAATTTCTAGATGTGAAAAAAAAAGGATTACAACAGAAATACTTTTCTAATAATAGTCCAGATAAATAAATTACAGTTTTTAAATTTTCTTCGTATCCAACAAAATGAAGTTATGAATTAGGTCGTTCTTCTACAGTAAGCTTTATATAGGATGAAAATTAATTTATCCCAAAATTGTTTAACATGATCAACACTATAAAAGTATCATCGACATACTTTCTTTCTGTAAATTAAGATTCAACTTCAAAAGGACGTGGTTCTAACTAAATATTTTTTGTAACATAAAAGTAAGTTTAAAAACTATAAGAACTAATCATACACCCATCGGAACGTCATTTATTTGTTCATACCATATTTCCTCGAACACAATGTGGGGTTTTTTTATGGCAACATCGAGTAACTTTTGAAATACGTATTTAGGAATGTATTGCATAGTTTCCTAGTGTCTAAAACAAATAATACAAATGTCAGAATCTTATAAATTTTGGACACATGTTTTAAATTTGAAATGCTCATAAATCTGTTCATCCATTAGCTACATCCCAATATCGTTTGTTTTATGTTAAGATGGAAACTATAATATATCTTAATGAAACTTCATACCTAAAGTATTTTCTCGCTTCATTTGTAGTTTCTTTAGAACAAAAACCTGAAGAATGAACATGGCCAAAAATTTGTGCATTGATTTAAAAACAAGAGGAAATCCTCAAAGCCGCGGCACTTGAAATTATTTTTGACAGGGCTAGAGTAAATCAATCTATGAGACCTTTTTTTTTTCCTTTTTATTAGTGTGACCAGCCTACTCTCAAATTGAAATTCTTTTAGGCAGGATTAGAGTAAATTAATTATGAGATATTGGGCATGATAAAATACATCAATCGAAAGGGTTTGACCTCCTGAGTCCAAAACTGTAATTAGATTAATCGGTCAAGATATGACGGAGCTATGAGCTAAAGGTTGGTACTTGAAAAACTCAGAGCCATTCCATGAGCCGCTATGCCGCGGTTAAAAATAAATGAAAAAACTAGTATTCATATTTTGAGAGTAAATCATTAGATTTTTCCTACATGACGAATTGTATTCTCAAAAAGGCATTACAGAAATTAAAAGAATATTTCCACGTGAAATGTCCGATCCTACTTTTTTTATCACTACTGTATTAATAAATAAATATAAACATATTGGACAACATCTCAAGTTTTGTTTACGCTGTAAATGAACTAATTTGATACCAAAGTTCATTTACAATAAA